CAATGGCCAATAACCGATTTCGAACCTTCGTCAGTGTCACAACCGCCGGAAGAGAAGAGACACGCTCTAGTGGCGAACGTTTCGAGCGAGGTTTCTCCAATCATTGCTCTGGCGAACCGCTTGTCCTCTTGGTCGAAATTATTGCGTAGCGTAATTTACGTTTGTCGATTCGCGAAGCTTTTACCGCGACGTCCGTATGTCTTAGCATCCGATTACAACTATGCCGAGTCGCTAGTATTACGTGAACTTCAACGTGCGCACTTCTCTGAAGAAATTACAAGATTACAATCGAATAGAGCTTGTAGTCGCGCCTTTCAACGCCTTAAGCCATTTTTACAGGATGGGATTGTAAGGGTAGGTGGACGCTTGTCCAACTCGCAATTGAGTTTCGACCAACGGCACCCTATAGTTTTACCGCGTAAAGACCATATCATGAACTTATTAGTCGATTATCATCATAAATTGAACTCGCACGCTGGCCCCGATTTATTGATGTCGATCTTGCGTCAGAATTATTGGATTCTTTCTGCACGTAGTTTAATACGCAATCGGGTGCACAGATGTATAGCTTGCTTTCGGGCACGCCCCAAGCCGTCATTTCCGGAAATGGCGGAACTTAGATCTTGTAGAGTGATACAATCGGTAAAGCCCTTCACGCACACCGGGTCTGATTTTGCTGGTCCGTTTAAGGTCACGCTCACTCGCGGGCGTGGTATAAGATCCACAAAGGCTTACGTCTGCATTTTCGTATGTCTAACTACTCGAGCAGTGCATATAGAACTCGTTGGTGATCTAAGCACAGCAGGCTTTATGGGTGCATTTAAAAGATTTCTATCGCGCAGAGGCCCTGTAAGTAAATTATATTCGGATAACGGTACGAACTACGTCGGTGCAAAACGTATTCTATCGGAACTACACGAGCTCTTAGCTAGCAAGTATTATAATTCGGAGTTCGCTCACATTCTAGCCGAGAACCGCATTGAGTGGTCTCTGAACGTCCCAGCCGCGAGTCATTTTGGGGGCAATTGGGAGACTAATATTAAAAGTCTAAAGAGCCACTTATACCGAGTAATAGGAGATCAAATTTTGTCCTTCGAAGAGCTAAGTACGGTGCTCGCTCAAATTGAATGCGTAATGAATAGCCGCCCACTTTGTCGGACGTTATCTAGTGACCCCTCGGAACCGCTGGCTCTAACTACAGCACATTTTTTGACTTTAACGCCTCTAAGGTATCTGCCCGCCGCGGATATGGATGAGAACAGACTTAGCATTTCCACACGCCACAAATTATTAGATCGGTTAGTGCAATCGTTTTGGAAACGATGGAGGATGGAATACTTGCATACTTTGCAGTCTCGGCAAAAATGGAACACAGCGACAGAGCCTTTAGCTGTAGGAACCGTAGTTGTGCTCACTAAGGAGAATACGCCGCCTCTCCATTGGCCGTTAGGAATCGTCGAGGAGGTCTTTCCCGGTTCCGACGGAGTAATTAGGATAGCTCGCGTTAAGACCACGGTTGGGTCTTACCTACGTCCTGTTATCCGTTTGTGCCCCTTGCCTCTTCCATAATTTAAATTAGCTTTCTAGACTGAAATTGTAGTTTAATTTAGGTAATCTTAGCGTTAGTTAGTTATTTGTTAGTCGATCTTAGCTCTAGTTGTTTAGTTATTTTTTTTGAAGGAAATCCTTCAAGGGCGGGGGGAGATGGTTGCGCGGAAAACCATTCGCGTTTTTTTATTTTGACGGTAGGAACTTGTAGAATCATTATTTCCTTTCCAAACAATATCATTCGTACCCTCCTATCGACACATCGGGGTGGTGGGGTGGGAGGGGAAAGAAGACGATTCTAGAACATCGCGTAATCACCCGAGCCGAGGATATATAAGACACGCGCGACCGATGCGCGAGCCTCTTCTCCCGCCGCAGTCGTCGTTGAACCAACTCTTCTCTCCTGACGCACCACTGGGGCCCCAGAAGTGTCTGTCCAGAGGAGGTTCCGGAAGTCGCCGCTATAGTGATCGACAGGAAGAAGAAACCCCGGTGAGTCAATATTCCTTAATTATACCTGCTTGCTAATAATTTAACCCGCTCCAATCTGTGTTTTTTTTCCTAGTCAAGCAGGATTCCTTTCATCGATTCGACAAGTAATAGTTTAGTTTAGGGAAGAGCGAGTGCATTGTACCGCATGCTATAGTAGTCGCTTGACGTAAGCGTAGAAGCAATCGCATATACAGTCCACTTTAGTTAATATCTCGCGTAATAGGTTTGAGGTTTGACCGGGGAACTAGATTTTCGGCAGCCTTAAACACGTGGCTCCACCAAAGGTTACAAGATGAAAGTGATAAAAACAAGTTCAAATGTAGACTGAAAGAAAATATAAGTGGTTTGGATGAATTATATATGAAGGAGTTAGACTTGGAGAATATATGGCAAAATGTAAAGAAAGGTTTAGTGGATGCAGCTACCGAAGTATGTGGTGTTAGTAAGAGAAAGAATGAAAGGAAAAATAATACGTTATGGTGGGATGATGAGATACGTATAGAAGTTGAAGCAAAGAAGAGAGCATGGCTAGATTTACTAGCAACAAAGGCTGCTAATTCTAGTGGTACGAATAGTGATATTGAAAGAAAAAAGGCAGTCTTTAGACATCTTAATAAGAGAGTAAAAGAAGTAATTGAAAGAAAAAAGCAAGAAAGAATGGATAAGAATGATAAAAGAATATCGGATAACTTCCAGGCGAATATTAAAATGTTCTGGAAACTTGTAAGAACTGCCAGGGGACATTCAAAACAGCCTATGATGAATGCTATAAGAGACGAGAATGGCTATATTCTGAATGATGAAGTTTTGAGTTTAAAGAGATGGAAGGAATATTTTGAAAGCGTGTTTATGAGTGAGGAGACAACGTGTGTACTAAGTGAAGTAGAAACACCGAAAGAAGAGGAAAGAGGTAGCGAGATAAGTATAGATGAAATAATGAAAGCAATGAAAAGCATGAAAGCAGGTAAGGCTGTCGGATATGATAGAGTTTCACTCGAAATGCTAAGGGCTGGAGAGGAAGTGGTGGCAGGCCTGCTGCACACCTTGTTTAATTTATGCTGGGAACTGAAGCGGGTACCGGTAGACTGGTGCAAAGCCGTGATAGTCCCAGTATATAAAGGAAGAGGGTCGCAGCAGGACTAAAAACTACCGTGGCATCAGCCTTCTTAGCATTGTGGGAAAACTGTATGCTAAGGTACTGATTGAAAGGGTCATGAAAGAAACTGATGGAAAAATTTGGGATGTGCAAGCGGGATTTAGAAAGGGAATGGGATGTACAGATCAGTCTTTTCCATGCGCATGATCGCGGAGAAGTTTCTGGCCAAAAACCAAAAGGTTTTTTGTGCGTTCATGGACTTGGAAAAGGCCTATGACAGAGTGGATAGGTATTTGCTATGGCAAACACTGAACTCATTTGGGTTGAGCGCTGGCTTGATACAGGCATTGGAGTCTCTTTATAGGGACTCTAGTGCTTGTGTTAGGATCAAAGGGGTCTACTCGGACTGGTTTGACATCCATAAAGGTGTCAGACAGGGCTGTGTGGCTTCCCCGTGGCTGTTCAACCTATTTATGGACAGTTGTTTGCAAAATTTGAAAGTTGAAGAATGCGGATTAAGAATGATTGAGTTCCTTTTGTACGCCGATGATCAAGTTATTCTTGCGTCGTCGGCGGCCGAGTTGCAAATGATGGTTACATTAATGAACGGATCATTAAAAGAAAGGGGTATGAAAGTGAACGCAAGTAAGACGAAGCTTATGGTTTTTGAAAGAGAAGAAAGTAAAACGATTTGTGAAATAAGAATAGAAGGGAAGTTGATCGAGCAAGTAGATGAGTTTGTATATTTGGGCTGCGTATTTAGCAGGGATGGGAGATATGATAAGGATATAGAACGACGACTGAATGCGGGAAATAGAGTAAATGGGGCCTTGCACTCTATTGTGAAGAGTCAAAATGTGTCGAAAAAGGCACGTATGGCAATTCACAATGCTGTGTTGGTCCCTACTTTAACGTATGGCAGTGAAAGTTGGGTGTGGCAGAAGAAGCACGAGAGTAGAATAAACGCAGTAGAAATGCGGTCGTTAAGGAGTATGTTAGGGCTGAATCTGAATGACAGGGTAAGAAATTGTGTAATAAGAGAAGAGTGTGTGTGGTTTGCAAGATGATGTTGTGACCAGGATTAAGAAAGGAATGCTTCGGTGGTTTGGTCATGTGGAAAGAATGAATGAGGAAAGAGTGACAAAGAAAATTTATGGTGCAGAAGTGAATGGCAGAGTCGGAAAGGGACGTCCTAGGCGAAAATTTATCGACCAAATTGGCGATTTATTGAAAACGGGCCAAATTAGGAGTACCCTTAACCGACGAGCATGTATGCGTAGGTGTATGGATGTGAAGGAGGCAAGAGAGGTGTGTCAGGATCGTGCCAAATGGAAGTCTGTAGGCTCTGCCTACCCCTCTGGGTGACAGGCGTGAGTGTTTATGTTATGTTTTCTACATGTTTAACTTTCTCCTCCCTCTTAGTTCGTGTCAGATTGCCGTCATATTGGACTATAAACGCAAAGAAATAGACTGCACCTGTGCTTACATACACTCTTGGGTACCATAATCCTTCTCAGTTAAACTGGTCGCCTTGATCGAAATTCTGTATAGAGGACATTATTAAAAGATAATGAAATTTAGCTTTGTACCAGATTTTATTTGTACCTATTGGAACATAATTATCGTTCAATTGTCCTCTACTCAGTATAATGTGTCCCGTGACGTATGATGTTCAATTTCCTTATATTGCAGTAGAAAATCCTGTTAATGGCGTTTGTATGAGATAGTAAGCCTATACAAATCCAAAACCATCAAATATGTGTAATTGCACAATTGTTGATATAGGTTAGGTTTCAGTTTTAGGAGCACGCTTGATTGACGCATAATTCAAATCAAAAAGTTTATTGTTTAAAATTTTACTCACTTCGACCAGACTTGCAACAGCATGCCATTTTGTTAAGATTCTGAAATTAAAATGCGTTTTTAAAGATCACTGTTTGCTGTTAAATTATTAGAAAATATTTATAAGGACATGGTCGAAGGATGTGTTTATTTACAGAATTACTATTTATTCACCTGTGAAAGAAAACAGGAAAACGTAGTATAAACATAGTAAAAAAAAAAGGAAAATACAGGAAGCTATGATAATTTTTATTCTCGTTTGTAAAAAAGATGAAATAAAATGCTGATACAGTTTTAATAGTATCTATATATATCTAAATAAATTCGTACTGACGCTTAATCGTATTAGATATAGAGGTTGAAAGGTCAGTAAAATACGCCCAAAGCGAACTTTTGACATGAAATTATTTGTTTTGTAATACAGATTAAATAATAATTTGGTTTTCTTCTTTTTTGTTGTCATTGTTGTTTCATTATAAGCGTAAGTTTTAAGATCTGGTTGTTATTATGCGTAACTTGCAAAAGTAGCAGTGTAGGAATATACGCTACCCCATATCGACCCGCGGGTGTCGTAAGAGGCGACAGAGGGAAACTGAACAGGAGCCAGGCAGCAGCATCTTCCTTAAAATAAACTTAGAATCATAAAAACAAAAAAGTGAAATTCCTCCTGTGCGGCAATCTATGGGGAAGGCGTATGTTCAGCTGTGAACTTTAGGCTGTAATAGATATCTACGAGTACACTCCGGCGACGGGGACGGGGAGCAGGAAAACTCGTTAATTCGCTGCTTCGCTTACTTCTAAGTGAGCTGCTTATTTTATGAAGTCTGATACTGTTGGTCCATTAAGCATCTGATATCTTAAATACGTAGTACATCGTAGCACAAATAGGTATATTTTATATATATATATATATATATATATATATATATATATATATATATATATATATAGCATTGGTGACAAACAAGCACACAATCCTCCTGTTGGTAAGTGGATACTGTGGCCCATAGACATTCACATTTAATCTAAATTAAGAATCAAAATGCAAATGCTTTGTCACCCCTGAGGACTAAGATGGAATGCCTCGATTCCAAAAAGGGTCCCTGGTTCTCTACACTCCCCATACGAAACTCAGCAGCATTACGCTACTATTTTACGCTGGTATTCTGTGAGAGCGTGGTCCTGCCCCGGTCGAGCCGACCCATTCGTGCTACAATCATAATATAGCTGCAGCGTGGCTATACCACGTAAAAACGTAGTATATGGTAGAGTTATGCTATAGTGTATTAGAGATGCAGCACAAATGAGTCGACTTGACTGAAGAAGGGCACTCGTACAGAATACTAGCGGGATGCTGTGTGTCGTAGGGTTAGTGATGAAAACTTTATTCCTGGTAACCTTGCATTCCATCTTATTCCTCACTTACCATCAGGTGAACTGTGTGCTCGTTTGTCGCTCTTCTTTCTATGAAAAAATAAGGTCAACTTACGAGATGTGTCACGGATGCGACACTTTTTCTGATGTCATATTGTGTTTCGAAGGCCAATAGTTTTTATCTATCAAAAGCATATTTTCCGATCAAATACTGATTGCCTTGTTACATGATACTGATTTATACATCAACAGTTATTTCTCAATGAGTTCCAGAGTGACAGAATAGTGAATGACAATTTAAGACTATTTTTTGATGTAAAGAGTTTATTTTCTTTTTAAAATCCTGTATTTTATTTTATTTCATTTGATCGAGAAGTAAAAGTTTCGTTTCGTAAATGCAATGTCGTTAGTTTTTATTGTAAGCCAGAAGCAAATAAAGCAGTTTTGGTGATTTTTCGTTCATATTTATAATAAAACGTTGATTTTTAAGATTTTTATTGTCACTAGAAAGTAGATAGATATGCAAAATATATGTTGCAATAAAAGTTGATTATATCTGTAACTTTTTTCAATTATTATTGAGCGTTAGAAATTAAGTATTCCCAATTCCCCTAATATACATAATAAGTAAATATATATTATATATATATATATATATATATATATATATATATATATATATATATATATTCTTAAAACTTTTTTTACTATTTCAACAAGTATTTACAAAAACTATTTACGTGGGTAGGTAGTTAAAAAGTAATGTAGGCTTATTACAGTAAAGTAATAAACCTACATTCAGTAATTTTTTTATTCAATATAGTACTACGATATGGTTCTGTACTGGGAAGAACCAGCAAGTAACCCAGCTGGACATTTCTTTTCAATAGAATTCATTTACAAGATATTGCTTTATAAAACTATGAAATAAACATATCACAGCTCATCAACAACAAATTGTACTGAGATTAATTTAGTACCGTCCGATTTATACAAGCAAACGCCGCCACTGCAAGTGCACAGCGCAAGTACACGTGTTGTTTATAATAATTCTGGCTAGGGGCCGTCCATTAATCACGTGATTTTTTTAGCATTTTAACACCCCCCTCCCTCTTGGTGATACGTGGTGAAGTTTATCACGCGGCGGCAGCTCCGTCAGGTTTATACAAGCAAACGACGACACTGCAAGTGCACCGCGCAAGTGCACGTGTTGTTTACAATAATTCTGGCTAGGGGCCGTCCAGTAATCACGTGATGTTTTTTGAGCATTTTTAGCACCTCCCCTCCCTCTTGGTGATACGTGGTGAGGTTTAAGACGCGGCGGCAGCTCCGTCATATTTATACAAGCACAAAACGCCGCCACTGCAAGTGCACGTGTTGTTTACAATAATTATGGCTAGGGGCCGTCCATTAATCACGTGATGTTTTTTTAGCATTTTTAACACCCCCCTCCATCTTGGTGATACGTGGTGAGGTTTAAAACGCGGCGGCAGCTCCGTCAGATTTATACAAGCAAACGCCACCACTGCAAGTGCACCGCACAAGTGCACGTGTTGTTTTCTGGCTAGGAGCCGTCACAATTGGATCTACCGACTGCGAAATAATTCTGGCTAGGGGCCGTCCATTAATCAAGTGATGTTTTTTTAGCATTTTTTACACCCCCATCCCTCTTGGTGATACGTGGTGAGGAAACGCGGCGGCAGCTCCAGACAACGCCAGGGGCCGAGTACGTGTTGAGGTTTAAAACGCGGCGGCAGCTCCATCAGATTTATACAAGCAAACGCCGCCACTGCAAGTGCACCGCACAAGTGCACGTGTTGTTTACAATAATTCTGGCTAGGAGCCGTCCATTAATCAAGTGATGTTTTTTTAGCATTTTTAACACCCCCTCCTTCTTGGTGATACTTGGAGAAGTTTAAGACAACCCCCAATAAATCACGTGTAGTTTTAGTAGCTATAAAGTATAATCTAGTTTTATTTTGAAATTAAAACCATGATAAAAATGTTACACAGAAAGGTTGTGGGTTGTTTTTGACTGGAATAAAAATAATATTACAGGAATAGTGTAGTCATGCAAAAAACATATTATTGTACTAGTAAATGAACATATTTAATGTACATTGTCCTCGGACCACGGATTGGCAAGACTTTTTCAATACTAACAACTGGATAAGCATCTTGCAAGTCAGTTGTTGGCACTGTGCTTTGTTGAAGATCAGCGTCGGTTTCATCGAGTCACTCGGCTTCATTATTTTCGCGCACTACACTACACACGATCTACCGATCGATCGTCGCGTGAGAATGCGTGAAGGATGAACATTGTGCACCTCTAGACTATTATTGATCGGATTAGGTTCATGCTTGTGACATGAATTTACATGTACAGGAGAGTCAGGGTCACATTACGCGCCGTTTTTCAGTATAGAAATCGCGCGTTTGACGAAAAAATAAATACATGTGATAATCTTACTACACCCCCCCCCTTGTGATATTTCGTAATTTTCGTCAAACCGGATGGGGTTTGACGAAAATCACTTTTTGAGCCTCATGTGATTAATGGACAGCCCCCAGAGCGGGACTCAGGCACCGTCACATTCAATCGCCTACAACGCGCTAGCCCCAACCGCGTATGAAGCCCGAGGCGCCTCGCGATTGTAGGTAATTATTTCACGCAGATAGCAAGAGCGACAGAGGCCTGTCCTCAGTCCGAGTCTTTGTTCAACAAAGTTTCGACTTCAGAGACAAGTTTATTGCGGTACTCGGCGACGTTTCCCCGAGAAATATTGGCACGGCCGGTGTATAAAGCATCACTTATGCTGACGTCCGCATAGCAATGAATGTTACCAATGTGTTGCTTGCACATCATTGATATGCAGAAGAAATAGCGTTGGTGATGGCACACAGCCTTGTGGAACACTAGAACACTTATCTAATGCCTCCGCCCATCTATGTCGAAGTTGGACTTACCTACTGGGACAGTAAAACATTGGTACATAAAACATGGACGTCCCACATAACCTTTGGTCCTCCACCAAAGGAATTTTTATGAAAATATATTTTGTACTCCATTTTTTATACAAGTAAAATCACATGCTTTTTGATAGATGACTGTTAACCGTCTTGTTTAAGTTAGACGTAGTACCTGGAGATCTACGCTTCAGCTACACATACAGCTATATATTATAGTTGCAGAACGAATGGGTCAGGTCGACCGAGACCGAGAAAAAACCACGGTCACACAGAACACCAGCGTAAATTAGCAGCTTTATACTTTTCACTTAGCAGCTTTTTACTTGCAGTTTCGTATGGTCGTTGTAGAGAATCGGATACCCTTTTTACTGGAAACGAGGAATTCCATTTTAAATCTCAGGTCAGGTGACGACGCAGACGACGCCGACGACGCATCTAGATTTTGATTATTCATTGAGGATAGATGTAAGATGTCTATGGGCGCAGCATTCACTTTCTATCAGGTGGACTGTTTGTCACTCTTATACCATAAAAAAGACGCCAAATACATGACATGCAATCGCCTATCCGCCTGGTAAGCGTGACAAATAAGGTCAATCGTTCTTATAACAGAAGTTGCTAAAAAATGTAGATTACATCCCTATAAATATCTTTAGCAAATTTTTCCTTATATTTATACTATCAGTGGACAGAAAATGACAAAATA